TATCATCCACATATAATATTAAGAAAATAAATTTGCTCCCACTAAATTTGTGATACATGCAATTATCAATAACGTTCACCTCAAAACCAAATGAGATAATTACTTGATGAAATTTGTGATACATTGATGAGATGCATGTTTTAGCCCATAAATGAATTTTATCAATTTACAAATAATTTTCTTTGAGTCTCCTGACATAAAGTATTTTGGTTGTACTATATAAGTTATTTCATCAATGTTTCCATTGAGAAATATTGTTTTAACATTCATCTGATGAAGCTCCAAATCAAAATGTGATACTAGAGCCATAATTGTCCTAAAGGAGTCATTCGTTGAAGTTGGAGAGAATGTCTCTTTAAAGTCAATCCCTTCTTTTGAGTATAGCCCTTTGCCACAAGATGTGTCTTATACCTCTCTACACTACCATTAGAATCCCTTTTGGTTTTAAAAATTCATTTACAACAAATGGATTTCACAAGTTTTGGTAACGAAACAAGTTCTCAAACTTTATTGTCTTGCATGGACTTATAGTCTTGATTCATTGCTTCAATCCACTTATCCGAATTAAAATCCTCCATGGCTTGACGAAAGCTGATTGGATCTTCTTCCATTATATCACTATTTTCTTCATGTTCTTGGAGAAATACCATATAATCATCCAAAATGGCACTCCTCCTTTCCCCAGTGGATTGCCGTAAAGTTGTTGGCTCTTGCGGCATAGATTCTTGAGGATGTTGAGTTTGTTCCTCATGAATAATTTCTTCATAGTGCATGGGAGTTGAAATGACTATATCCTTTTGAGGTACTGAATTTATCACATCAGTGGCAACTATATGAATTGGATCAGACTGAACAAATTCTTCCTCAAAGGAAACGTCTTTTTATCTTATTTCTCCCCCCAAACTCAATATCCTCATAGAATGTAGCAATACCCGTCTAAAAAATATTTCTTGATTTAGGATCATAAAATTTATGCTCCTTAGATCGCTCAGAATAACTAATAAAGTAACTACTTACTATTCAGGGTTCCAATTTCTTTTCATTAGGTCGGTAAGGCCTTGCCTTAGCTGGACAACCCCATATACGAAAGTGTCTTGGACTAGGCTTTCTCTCAGTCCAAAACTCATAAGGTGTTTTTGCAGTTTCTTTAATTAGTACTATATTAATAATGTAAGCTATAGTTTTTGTTGCTTCTCCCCAGAGTGACTTTGGCAAAGTAGATTGAGAAATCATACTTCTTACCATGTCCTTGAGTATACGGTTTCGTCTTTCAACTACATCATTCATGCTAGGTGACCCAAGCATTATATACTAAGGGACATTTCCACACTCCTTTAGATATAAAGCAAATTGTTCTGGACATTGTTCACCTAAGCCATCATTTCTGCCGTAATATTCTCCTCCACGATAAGATTTGATGCTTTTTATCCATTTGCTGAGTTAATTTTCAACTTCAGTTGTAAATGCTCTGAACACATCCAAAGACTGAAATTTTTTATGTATCAGATGCAAGTATCCATATCTAGAGTAATCGTCTATGAATGATATAGAGTATTGTTTACAATTCCATGAAGGTATAGGAAATGACCCACAAATATCGGTATATATCAATTCTAAGACGTTCGTAGTTCTATATGCACCTGATCTCTTAGGTTTGGTTTGTTTACCTTTAATGCATTCAACACAAATATCTAAACCTGATAATTCAATGGGATTAAGAATTCCTTCTGACATAAGTCTTTCAACTCTATTTCTAGAGATATGGCACAAACGTTTATGCTATAATACACTAGAATTTTCAATTTTACATTTAGTACATCGTAATTTCATATTCATGATAGAATGTTATAGTATCAAGTAAATATAGATTGTCATAAGTCATAACTAAACCAGTTTCAATCATATTTAAATTTAAATACAAAGAAAACTGATTATTTTTAAATGAATAAGAATAACCAGATTTATCGAAATAAGAAATAGAAATTAAGTTCCTAGATGACGGTACAACAAAAGTGTCTTTCAAATCCAAATAATATCTAGTATATAATAATAATATTAAATATGCATATAGCTTCCACATATACCAATTTTTTATTCCTCACATAAATGCTTCTCTCAGTATTATTAGGCCTTTGATAGCTCATACAATCTTTCATTAATACATTGATGTTAGTTGTTGTATCGGAGTCTAACCACTAAGTGTTTCTAGGTACTGAAGTTAAATTGACTTCTGAACAAACCAAAGTAAGGAATGTTCCCTTTTTAACATGCCAAGTATGATATTTGACATAGTCCTTTAAATACACAGAATTCTTGCAGAAGAAACAAGTATCATCCTTATTTTGTTTCTTCTGTACTGGACCCTTATCAGCCTTATTCTTTCCAGATTTGTATTTTCTTTTCTTACCCTTAAAGTTGGTTTTGTTTAGAACCGGTACAAAATTAAGATTAACAAATATTTTTACAAGAGAACCTAAATAAGAGAACAATAGATAACCATAAATTATGCTCATATATATTATCATAAACTTATAAATTCAAATAATGATAAAACACATATGAAGATAACACGTGCAACATTAATATTTTGTCTTTGAACTTTAATATTAATTGTTAGTGATAGTCTTGTTGTAATGATGACATGTATAAAATCATGTCAATCATTAACTTTTCTTTGACCGGATAATTATATATAAATGAACACTACATTTAATATTTTCATGAGAAATATTATATATAAGAATGATAACATACATGCTCCATGATCCGATCAAATATCCGAGTCTATATCAGATCCTCAAATCGAAATCAGTATCATCGACCGGAGGTCCACAGGTTCACCACAAAGATTTGACAAGCGTGGAAGGGAACCTTTGTGGAATGACACGACCACCGTGCAGTGGGCCTGCTTGCATGTGTGTTTTTTGGCATCTCCTACTGTGTTCATCTGCGTGATTTTTTGGCATGTTGGGTTGGTTTTGACCCACGTGAAAGCAGAATTCTGTGCACTCCCCTACAAACGTCGTTGATTCTACCAGTTTTAGAATGATATGGCATACAATATTATCGAATATATAAGAGATGATCCGCAGATTAATAGAGTCAAATTATATATCAACGTCGAAGTCGATTGCCATACGGGGTCATGTGATTAGCACGCGGTGTTATGAACGCATTCCCCGTCTTCCTTCCATTGTCTACCCTTTCGGACATACCATGCGGTCGCAGAGAGAGAGAGAGAGAGAGAGAGAGAAGGGGAGCTCAATGTTGCTGCTGTTTGTTTTCTCCGATTGTAATCGACAGAACCATCACGTGAGATCGGACACGCCGAATCATACGCTGCCAGTCCACTGCGACTCGGAGGACCGAGCGGATCATCTTTGATTCCATGAGACACACACATTTGTCCACATTTATGTTTTTACTGGCTGTAAGCTGTAAATTAATTTATCCCCTCTTATTATTAATTTTATGTTGTTCTGCCATAATATTCGTCTTCTTCTGTCCGTCTGTTAAAGATGAACATGACTTTGTATAGAGTATTTTCGTGATTTCTCTATTTATGGTTAAATAGAACTTTAAGAAAAAACTAGTCGTAATATTCCAATTACCTTTGGGTCAGTTCTTGATTTTTTTTCGATCATTAAACTCTATACAAAGCAATTAAATCGATACCATTGAATGTATAGGTTATAATAAAGTATTTTTGGTCCTCGTTTTTCTCTTGCATTACTTGTATTCGATATCTCATCTTATATAACAATTCCATTTATAGGGCTTATTAGAATCCATCCATAAAAACATTATATGACCATGATAGTCCCAAGGACCCCTTGCCCAAAAAAAACGAAAACCCTTCCGGTTGGAGGCTAAAAGCTATTATGATCATCATATCACTATTCTAATCGTCATATCCAAAATTCTATCTCAGAGATGCTGAGCGCCTACTCGTACTTCTATTTGCTACTTGAAATATAAGTTTAACTTGTTTTAGCGTAATTTTTGGTTGTCTAATTTTGAACCAACTTCGAGACAACGAAGGTTCTTTTCCTATCAATCTCATTGTGAATTATAATTATTAATGATTTAATTACCTCAAACTTATAAAACTAATTAGTTGGGAGAATTCTTGACTAGTGTTCCTTTGATGATCAAGTTTGTATTGAGTTTGAATGAGTTCTTGAAAAAACTTGTGTGTCTATGTGGATAGTACTTTTTATAATGGGTCATATTATGAAAAATAATTATGTATTATTCTTGAATCAAATTGGGATAATGACATCATGATGTATTAAATCCAGGTCAGGTATTGACTAACTGGACTCGTTTTTGGGTGTTGAAGTATCGAATATGCCATCCATGTGACATCAATTTGTTGTTATGCCAATCACATTAAGTTATACTATCGATCATAATATGTTAGTTATGTATCATTCATGTAACTTTGACTGTCAACCTATTAGTCATATATTGTCTATGTGACCATAAGGTGTTCGATTAGTCAATTTTGGTTGACCGTTAAGGTTAATTCACGAGCACGTCTTCGTTTTGCACTCACACGCACACAGCTTCAACTTTGGGCAAGTTGTTGAGTCGGAAAACATCTTTATTACATAAAATGCTGGAAGACGCATAGAGTAGTAGAGCTTCATAATGAAGTGCCAGGTTTTGCCAGATACGAATGCAGAACAACAAGTGCATGATTGTTGAAACCTCTCGTGAAGCGTAGACTCTGCAGGCTGCAGCAGCATGGAGTCCCCGGGCACCACAGCGGCGGAGGACATTATAATGGTGAGAGTACAATCTGACCGATTCAGAGATTAATTCTACTACATTTCCACGGAACCGTCCAAACAAAAACGAGCGTCGTCGCCATCAGGCTCGAAGGGAAGCGCGTGGAATTAGTCCAACGGTCGCGCAGTTTAGTAAGATGAATCCACCCTCCCGGGGAAGTCTTCCCTTCACTCCTTTTTCATGTCGATCTGGAAGAAAGTAAAGACTGATGGCCTCGAAAGAGATAGATTCCCGAAATGTGGAGTAAATCAGGCTTATAACACAGAAGAAACTTGCATCACATTCGACCGGCCTTCCTTTGATTGCTGCGTCATGTCAATTTCGCATTCTTATCTTGACTGCCACATACGCTTTGTCGTACATCTTGTCCACCGTTGCAAAATAGAAGAGCCTCCAATCTTTCTTGAACAGCATGACCACGAACACACTCCATATGCCGACCAAATATCCGAGCCCGGTACCGAAGTAAAACGACAGCACATGAGATCCTTGTTCGGACTCCTCTTCCGTCGAATCGACGTTGGGATCGTCGGAGCAACTCTTGGTCACCGGAGGCCCACAGAGATGGACATTTCCGATATAAATGGATGCATCATCCAGCGTCTGAAGTTGATTCCCCGATGGAATCGCCCCCGATAGATTGTTGTAAGACAGATTCAAGTGGCTCAGAGAATTCAGCGCCGAAAAGCTTTGAGGAATGACTCCGGATAACTTATTGAATGATAGGTCCAGAGTTTCCAATGACTTCATATCGCTCATTGTTTTCGGAATCATGCCTTCAAAACTATTTCTCGACAAATTCAATGTTTGAAGCGCAAAAAGAGAACCGATTTCCGGAGGAATCACTCCGCTCAGATCATTGTTCGAAAGATCTATGCTTTTCACAAATCGGAGAATGGTGGAGAAGCTGAACTCATCGCCCTTGGTAACCAGAGATATACTCTCGCTTGCCACGAAAGAGGATAACACAAAATTCATAATGTTCGAAACCGTAGAAGCCATCGACTTTGACGCGGAGATCATCGCGCTGAAGTTGCCGAAAGAGTGCGGTACCGATCCCGATAGTCTGTTGTTGGAGAGATCGATGATTTGAAGATTACTAGATCGTCCAAGTTGCAGAGGAATATGGCCCGAAAACATATTTGAGCGCAGTAGGAGTACTTGCAGATTCCGTAAACTTTGTCCGATCCACGCTGGAATACTTCCCGAGAATTTGTTGTTGCCGAGATCAATGACAGCCAGCCGACTGCAATTTTTCAGCGACGAAGGAATACGTCCGAAGAGGCTGTTGTTGTTTAAGTGAAGGAACTGAAGGTTGCCCAAGTTTCCGATGGAGTCAGGAATCTTTCCTCGTAGCTTGTTGTTCGCCAGATTGACAAACAAAAGTTGTGATCCCTCCGGCCGACAACGGGGGATTTCTCCTGATATTTGATTGTTGGATAGATCAAGGGCATAAAGTTGCTGCAGGTCGCAGACGTAGGACGACGGTATGCTTCCATGAAGATAGTTGTGGGAGAGGAACAGGTAGCCCAACTGTGATGAGATGGTCGAGGGTAGCGATCCCGACAAAGAATTGCTGGACAAGTCCAGCGCTTGTAGGTTTGGTGGCAAAACAGGAATGCGACCTCGAAAGAGATTGGAGCTCAAATTCAAGAGCATCAAGGTGGCCATACTCTCCAAGGATGCCGGCAAAACTCCACCGATCTTATTGTGGGACAGATTTATGTCCATAATGGTGGAAGAAGAAGAATTCCAAAACCAATCAGGCAGTGTGTCTTCGATGCTTGTGTTGGACAGATCAATATCAGTGAGGAATTCCTGAGAACGGAGCCACCTGGGAAACGCGGGACCCAAGTCACAGGTATCAACTTTGATGGATTGAAGTTGAAAAGGGGGCACCCAGTCGTGGTCGAATCGGATGGTCAAAGGGTTGGCGTAAGCGTACAGGGCGACCAACTCGGTTAGGTTCACGAAATGGAGTTCGGACATGGTGCCCTCCAGGGAGTTATCGGAGAGATCGAGGGCGGATAGGTTGGAAAGCTTGCCGATCTCAACCGGTATCAGTCCGGAGAGTGAATTATGACCCAAGTCGAGCTGCGTTACGCTGGACAGATTCCCAATCTCGGCGGGGATTCGACCCGAAAGTGAATTGCCGCTGAGGCGTAATTCCGTAAGACTGGTCAAGCGCCCAATCTCGGCAGGGATGGAACCAACGAGGAAGCACTGAACGAGGTTTAGCTGCGACAGACTTGTCGTGTTCCCGATTTCAGGTAGAAGGGGACTCGTAAATGAATTATGGCTGAGATCAAGTGTGGTTAGACTGGCCAAACTCCAGAGATCGACAGGTATGGAACCGGAAAGCGAGTTGCCGCTGAGGTCGAGCTGCGCGAGACGAGTCAAGTTCCCAAAGCCGGCAGGTACGGTGCCATACAATTCAGAATTGCTGATCGCGAGATAGGAGAGGCTACGGAGTTCAAAAAGCCAGCTGGGAAAGGTGGAGTTGAAGAAGTTGCCACGGAGATCGAGGGTGGTGAGAGCCGTGAGGTTGACGCGGGAAAGAGAGTCGGGGAGGGCAGTGAGACCACAGCCTGACAGATAGAGTTGCTGCAGGGAGGGCAGCTGGTTCACGGCTCGTAGCCAATCGGGAGAGGCCGTGCTGAGGTTGACAAAGTTCATTTGGAGGAATGTTAGAGAAGATAGACGCGAGAGCCACTGTAGGTCGTCCCCCGCGTCGATCCTCAAGTTGTCC